TCCATGCAGAGACCACAGTTCAAAGTTCAATTAAAACTTTTTAATTTAATAATTAAATAACTAAAAATTAAACTATTTTAATATGTGTTAAAGTTTCCTTAATTTTTTAGCAAGATTAATGAATTTACATTACCTCGTTCTTGTCACCGGCTCTTCTCGTTTTCTTAGATAATATCACATTTTGGAAACACCTGTAAAACGAGAAAAAAAAAGAATTATTTCGAATAGTTGATCTATATGTGTGATTACAAATTCGTCAGATTATTAAAATCGAACGCGATACGGGCTAACCACTTGTATGTTCGTATCGTTATATATGAGGCAGAACATCGTTCGCAAATGAGTTTTTTCATTGCACCGGAAAGTAAAGCAGATGACATTATTGGTATAAGCAATCGCAATTCGCAACAGCGATTATGACACGTTCAATCAGGTTCGATGCAGGGGCTTCATTGCGTTTTAATTGCGACGCGCGAAGGAAAAGCCGTGAATCGATGATATATGACGGCGTAAATAAAATCATTACAACACCATGGCGTGTCACGACCTCGGTCATGACACAGCGAAAGTTGATCGTCCTTTTTTGCCGTATAGAGATCCTAATTTCATTATCTGCACACGCCTTTCTTTATCATTACGCACAGCGCGTGTTAGAATTTTTATCAATATATACATTTCCTTTTCTCTTACTTACAATTAGACGTATCTCATATTTATTACAAAAAAAATGGATTGTCAAATTAAAATAAAATAATAGTATCTTATAAATTAATAATGTAAAATATTTTGTTCACTGTAAATGGGTTACACCAAGCGTTCCATTTTTTGATGCTCTGACCGACTGCCTATCTCGATCACTTTTAAAGCCGCTACTGCGAGAATGGGTGACGCTAATTGAGACGAAGCATTGCGCGGTACGCGCATTAATAAATCATATGCGAAAAAACGTAAACGCGCGCGCGGACGCAGATCGATAAACGCGAACTCGGCGCCCGCCACGCCGCAGTCATGGAGAAACTGTTTAACCAGCGAAACAAGGAACCGACGATCCCGAGCGCGGCAGACTCTCGTGGCACCCACCGGAATAATCTTATTAAATAAGTATTCGAACTTGTCGAAAATCCAATAATAAGCCGCGGGTGAAACAGCTCCCGCGCAAACGTAACCGACGAGCCGTAAGATCATGCCGTATTCTCCGCAATTTCTAGGCAATTTCCGCGCGGAATGCTCCGTTGCGCAATTACCTGACGATACGACGAATATTATTGGAATTTTCATATGGGCCACCACTTTTACGGCGTATCGAACGCGTTTGAGACCGAGAATGTTCTCTCTTCTATAATAAATTAACTTGTAATGTTTCATAATAAATTTAATTAAATCAATAAAGTGAAACCGATGTGAATACTACAAGTAAATGGAAAAGTGCTGTCTTCACCTCTGTTAACCTTATAGCACCTACACCACTAAAAAGTTCAAATATACGGCATAATTTATTGCTCTAAAATAGTGCAAAGAGATAATAGAAATATTGAATATTTATAAATGTACTGATACCCCCTCCCCTGCTACTGCATAATAAAACAATCGCATATAAGAGCAAAACGGCCGAAAATAAAAAATTAGTCGTATAAATTTAATATTAAATGTCATATTTCTCCAACCAAATACTCGTAAAATACGTTACTTTAAAATTTATTGCTCGTTGTTAAATATAACAAAGTTCACCAAAAGTGTCGCGGTGCTAGTCACGACAAGAATAAAGTATGTTAAAAAAATTATTTGCTGTGTTGATTTTGGTACTAAATTGATTATATATAGTTTATTGCTCTTAAAATATGTAGTCTAAAATTGATTGCTCCTTGTTTAACTTAACAAATTCTACCAAGAATGTGGTGGTGCTAGCGTCACGACAAGAGTAAAATACCTATGTTAAAAAAATTATTTGTTGTGCTGATTTTAGTATTAATTTAATTTTATAATATTGTTTTCAAAATATCCAATCATGAATTTATTGCTCCTCGTTTAACTTAAAAAATTTCGCCAAGAGTGTGACAATACTAGTGTCACGACAAATCGATGATTGACTTCGGTCCTGAAGTATACACTAAAAATATTAACCGTTTATATCTGTTATATGTTCATCTTACAATTAGTTTGCTAAACTGATTTAATTAGATAGAGAAGTGCATCTTCGATCGAGTTGGATCTTTGCAGTCTAATAATATTTTGTAAATTTATATACTTTTTTCCACTCAACAAACTAGGCGCCGATTATTTGTCGGTCTTAAAACACAGTTCCATAAGAACAGGATATCTTTATTCATCGGATTTTACCTCAAAAGGCTAATGCAAGATGAAACGGATGAAAGAACGATTTCGTCGTCGAAAATTCTATAAATTCCGCTTCTTATTTTACTTTAAACGGGGCAAAGGACGTGAAATAAAACTCGTAAAGTGAACTCTGGCACGGAATCTAAATGCAAACGGTATGCGTGTGCCATGAACAAATTGTGGGAGCAAAAGGTTTATCATTCTTGTGTTAGTCTCCTGCGTTTTGCCACAAAAGAAATCCACCAACGATGTAACGAAATTTACTTCCGACTCTATTAACTTTTAATTTAACAGTCAGATATACGTATGATAAAACGCGTGTTTTGATCCAGGCAAACATATACCAAGATATTTCAGAAGATGCGTATTATATTCTATAGGAAATTTCACGTCAATTTTTCAAAGTTTCAATCTTCGCTTATACACAGTAAAAAATCGTGTGTACATAGCGGTCCATATGTTAAAATTTTCTTGTGTCCCCAATATTTGATTATTATTTCAATGTAAAATTAACATACAATAGCTATGTTATTTTTTTCTTAACAATTTCATGTATTACATTTATGTCAACGTGATAGCTTATCACTTTATATATGTCATTTAGAAATTAAATATTATTTTGAGTTATTTTAACACATAAACAAAAATTAAACGTAAATTTTCAAGTAATCGTAAACTTTGAAATACAAAATAATTAAATTTACTAAAATTAAATGTTTTTATTACACATAATTTAAGTAAAATTTGTAAAATAATTAATATCATGTGTTAATATAACTTGAAAAATAAAGTCAAAAGAACAAATATAAATGTAAAGTATAGTGTCAATTAATTAACATTTCTAATTTGTCAACAAGTAACACATGATGAATGAGTTATTTTAACTTAAAATTTAGAGTGGACTTTCTGGGACATGTAAAAAATGTTAAAATTACATTTTATTTTTTACTGTGTACGCGCTTCTAACGTGCTTCACCAATAATACGTTGGAGCTTCATCTTTGTCTTGGATCAATATATCCGGACACGGAGCCGGCGGCATGTCGATGAGGTACGAAATGCTCGAACGCGCGCAAGCGATGGTTACGTTGCGACTCCGCTCGCATATATAGTTTAGAACCTAATCACGGATTTCCTAGACAGTCGTAAAATCCTTATTAGGTATTCGGCCCGACTCCTACCGTAATCCACGGCGGAACTATAATATCGTGCTAATATTATGCATGGTGAATCGCACAACTCGATATTCGCATGCCACACGTATTACACCGGTGCGGCGCGGCGCGCGCCCTTGTCCGGCCATAAATAAGGAGCGAAGTAGTATTAGCCAGTAATAAGCTCCTCGAGTTTTACGAGGGAGAGGATACACTCGCGAATAAACCGATCTGAAACGGCTAATTCATTTACGCGAGATTTATATGCGGCGAAGCAACGTTCCGCGAACCCCGCATGATGTCTATATTACAGAACCATACATATATTTTGTTGAATAAATAGTACCTCTATCGAATAATTTGCAGTATGTACATTAGATTGAAGGGAGTGTTCTCTCTCTCTCTCTCTCTCTCTCTCTCTCTCTCTCTCTCTCTCTCTATTTTTTTTTTCGAGACATGCCAGTGCAAATTTGTTTTCATACCTTTGCAAATGTGCGGCAGTCGCGATATCGACCGACTGACTAATTGCGAGGAGCTTTTCCAGAACATTCGTAGAAACGCGATAATCACGAAGAGCACGAAAATTTCGTCCGTAAATGCGTGCCGGATATAATTGGATGTCCAGAAAAATGGCGAAGTCCGCTCAGGTCCCAGAAAAGAGATAAAGATATTACGACAGATTTCGTGAAACGTACACCGAATGAATTTTCTCATCGCGCGATATTCGTTATTATATCTATCGTCAGCCATAACATCTGTCACCGATTACTACGTACCGCACTAATTAATTAAATCGAAATTCCATAGAGCTCGAAAATCCTGCGGCAATGCAGAACTTGTTTCATAAGTCATTACGAAGCCGAAGCTTAATCCGTTACCATTTTCAATATAATTATCATCGCAAATCTAATTATTTAATTGACATTTTTCCAGATATCACAAAATTAACCGATACTTCATTAAATCTCATTATAATCATGTACCATACATCGCTCTTTCACTGTTTCGTATTTCAGCACGTTCGACGTATAGACGCAATCAACTTTTAATGAAATAATTCCGCCTCTCAATTATTTCAATCGTATCGCATAACATATAACATAATCCGAAAATGCATTATATATTTTCGCGTACGATGATCAAAGAGCAAGCATATAAGCGTATATTCTCCCCACGACTTTCGGCTCCGGAATAGTTAAAATAATTCTTCGGGGAATTTAATTTTCAGAACACGCAAGATATCTCTACCTATCCATCCAGCTATCTATCCGGTCGACCCTATCCCCCGAAGTCCCTCGCATATGCGCATTTCCGCCCTTCGCGCGCTCATGGCAAGTGGCCTTTAGTTCGGGGGCGAACGTATTAAGCGGCGAATTCTTGGCGACGTTCCGGGGGTTGCACACGGCGGCAGTATTTTCCCTCGCCGAGCGACGAGTACCTGTCCGCTGTTGGCTCTGCCGCCGGAGCTCGACGTGGGACGTTCCGTAGGACCTGCGCGTTCCGCCGGCCTGGCGGTTCAGTCGCTTCTACCAAAGCGGCACTCACGTTCCGTGTCCGGACCGCACGCGCCTTTACCGCGCGCGCGACTCTATCCTCTCTGTCTCCCTTTCGCTCTCGTTCTCCCGACGACCACAGCATCCCGCTGTGCTCCGAGAGAGCCCCCGGATCAATCGTGGGGATTCTCCGCGGGCTAAATCGCCCGAGAGGTACTTATCTCTCGTCGTAACGACGAGATTTCGAACGATAGATCGCTCGGCCAAGAACGGAGAGAACGCGGGCTCGTTCTCGCGACGCGAGACGAGTGGCGAAGAGCGCCGATTAACAGTGTTGTGAGGGGAACCGGCGTGTTTGAAAAGTGATCTTAGTGAGCAGAGATTTTTTCCAGTTTTCAGTTAGTGCTACGTGCGCGAAGGGGAGCGCTGGTCTTCGTAAGCGGCAACGTAATAGGTGAGTATCACTTTCATTCACGGTTGAAGTTTATCTCTGCTTTTACGATCTTAACAGCCTCGTTTGTGAGACAAACGCGTGTCATAATAGTCCAATGGTGAATCTCGTGCGCTACGAGCGAAATAGATATATGTATAGTAAAGAGAAGATCGTTGAGAAACTGCCACTTTCTACGATGGTCCACGTTGACAATAAACGAGCAGACTGATTCGACGCGGATCACGTGTATCCACCTCTTTCCTCGGTAGATTATTTTTAAAAACCGCGAACAGCTTATGCGAATACATATATTTGTTCACAGACGTGACAAATGAAGGCGGAGAAAAGATTTTCTCTTCCCCTTTATAATCCGTTGATTCTTTAGTTATGTTACATGATTATGCATAAAGTTTGACGTATCACGGGCGTTCAGGTTGGTGTTCCAATTACAAAGATTGCTTATCGCTTCGTAAGATCATACACATCGCAAACGTAGAATTAATTTAATTAATTACATGGCGCGATACGTTACGTGTATAAGCCTAGCGTTCGAGTAGAGATCGCGGCTAGAAGATAAGCGTGATCGCGGCGTAATGTCAAAAAGCGATTTCAAAGTGGGCAAAGTCAATATGTGCCGTTCTCTTTTCGCAGTTGATGAACGTGATACGTCACAATCGATCACGGCGTGTCGCGACAACGCCGTCAAAGCGGAAATGCCTTTCTTTTTCTGTCGCTTTACGGTAGTAACGGGTCGCGCAGGGACCCGCATTCACGAAACAACGAGAACTCGAGGGATTAATCGTAAGCCTACTTAGTGTCATAATTAATCCCGTCATCGATCGACGATTCGCGCGCTAATGACGAATATGAATTAACACACGCGTGCGCTCGTGTACACACCGCTGTGTGATGCACTTCTAACTATTGCACTGCCGTTTTCCTCCCTCTGGGATCAAGCAGGCTTAAAACCCGCAGGACGCGCGTCGTACATTATTCTCGATCTTCGTTCATCGGCGAGAGAGTAGGTGGTTTTAACCATTCCACCCTTAGTTATGGCAGACTCGGTCGTCTATTAATAAGGAGGGAGATCTCCGGGCCGCCTTTGTTATCAAGCATCATGTCACAGTATGAATTGCGGCAGTTCGGCTCCGAGCCACTGAAGCGGCTGCCGTAATGAATGGCCGATAGTTAGGTGCTTGCGGAACATCAGCGCGTTTCATACCAACTCTCTAGCCCTCTCCCTTCCATGGGTGTTATCACGTTTCTCGCATAAACTAATTTCTCTTTTTCTTTCTCTTATTACTTAATTTTAATTGCAATATGTTCTGAATTGGTAAGCTTCAAATAATGTGTCAACAAGAAATTTTGGAAAAGGAAACTATATAATATAGTATGTTATTATGCCGTTCTTATAAAATATGAAACACTCTTCTTATCAAATGAAATATCATATCTCTTTATAAAAATTTTAAGGAATCCATCTTCCAACTCCAAGATAAATAGAAGAATTTTTTTTACATGTGAGCGATGCAAATTGAATTGTTATAAATTTAGATTTATTAGAACTTATAAATGTAAAGTAAAAAGATTGGCGATACTACATAATACATAATATGTAACATCTACGTACATCAAGCAAAATAAGTTATTACGAATGTAGTGAGCAAGGTAATAGTTTGTTAATAACGAAGAGTTTGGACAGATTATCCACTTGTTAATAAGAGTATGTGTTTCGCAAAATTATACAAGATAGACGGTTGGTCGAACGAATTAATTAACATGGGAACATATGAACGAATTCGGGAATACATATTCAGTTTGAAAATCATATCTCTCAGTATGCGGAACATGATGCTTCATCCTAATTACATTATGGTTGACTAATTGCAAATGAATTCCAAATTTAGAATTTCGAATCATCGTACGCATCAGTGTCCGAATTAGACAGCTTTTGCAAAAGAAATGATACTTCTCATTTTAATTCACTTGTGACCGTACTTCAAAAGAATGCATCAATACTAGTTGCAATATGTGTAATGCATAATTAAGTGCAATACGTATAAATGTACAATTTAATAAACATCGCGTTAAATTGTTTATTTGTCCGTTGTTAACTCGTGACAGAGTCTGTTGTTATATTATTATTACCTACACATTTTGGTGATGGTATAGTTAATGAAACACGAGCTCTCAAAGCTGCATTGATTAAATAATATTTCGGATTTTATCATATAAAAATCTCTAGAATTGAACGACGTGAAATGTAAAGCAGGGAATATATGAATAAGTTGGAAGAAATGTCCTTTCTTCCAAAAACTGTTCGTCTTAATGTGGACGAGAGATCGTCAAGGGGTTAACAATCGATTTTCTAGGATCGATGTGAATACCGTTTAAAATTCAAATACCAGTTCAATGGCTGCGTTGCAGTTACGACGACTTTAACGACTGTAACATCAGCATTGGGATAAAGGAATATAAATGAGAATTACAATACATTTAGAAGCGAAGTGAGAACAAGGAGCACATTATTGAATTTTTCACATTTTAAGAGCATTCCTATATTTTAATCCAGTATCATTTGATATTTGAACCGACATCTTTTTGACAGAGGTGAGAGAGAAAGAGAGAGACATACACACATTGATATTCAGATAAAATAGAAGAACATAAAGACAGGATATTGATCAAATGGAAGAAGATAAAAATTTTAAACATACAAGTCACGCTAAGAATTCTGCCATATCGCCAGAACAGCGAACATAATATATGTAGATCCATTTATGTAAAATACATTTTCGATAAACTTTTTTATTTAAACAGATCTGAATACACGATCCTTCGCTCCATACACGTTCTGCATGTTAGAATATCCATTTGTTAATCAAAGAATTTAAGCAATCCGAATAAGAGTCACGTCGCATAATGAAAAAGAATCGAGTACGTCGCGTCGTCATTCCGCGCATATTCGCCGGGGACGCCGGGTGAGAATGAGAAAGGGGGAAAGACGGAAGTTAAGATGCATACAAAAGATGACTTACGCGGCACGTACGTGGGAGCACGAAGATTCATGAACTGATTTCGAACAAGCGCGCCGACATCGTAACTCCGGCATTATAGCGTCGCACGCGCGGCATCCGCCGTGCTCGCATTTAAAACAATCTCACGCGACGTAAGTCGCCCGTCTCCGGCGGAAGGCGGAATTCACGAGAGACGTATATGAGATTGCACCACGGGAGAAGAAATACGTACTGCAACAGACGACCATGACGACGACGACGAAGGCTGGCTCTCGTCAGTCGAGTGCGCAGAAGTCCGCGAAAAAATTCGATAGTTTCATTCCGCTTTTACGGCGCCGTAACACCGAAGATTTCATCATCGCGGATGCGGACGGGGAAAAGACGCGGTGGTCGGAGATGGAGGGACGACGGCGAGGATCAGTCGAGCGGAAAGCTCTTTCGGGGCGAAATACATGCAGCTATGCAAATACCCGGGATCGGGGCATTCGAGAGGAGTAGGATATGCATCTGGGCGAATGCCGGTATCCGGCCTTATACGCGGGCTACAAGTAGCTCGTAGAGGCCGATCGAACCCTGCATCCATCGTCGTCGGTATTTCATAAGATCGGGCGAGATCGATCGAGGAGGAGGCGAGTGGTTGGTTGGTTGGTTGCATAGTTGAAAATAAAGAAAGATAAAAGCAACGAAAAGATTTTCGGATCGTGGGGAGTTAAACAATAAAAATGCCAAAATGATATTGTTATTGCTGTTATAAATATGATGTGTGCCTGCTCTTCGAATTTCGTTCGTTGAAAATTCTTTTTTATCGCTAGTGCGATAATTATGGAAATGACGCCGATGCCCCGCGGACGTGTTTGATCATATATAGATCAGGATAATGCTCCCGGGCGGCGGCTGCGCCGATCGTTTTTGCGCCTAATCGCATATTCTTGGGAATTGACTTAACGTCGATTTTCTATGTAAATGCCCGAGCCGTGCCCGGGACTCATGACGATTCACGGGATGCGTTTAATCGCGATATACATATGTAGGTCCTTCTTCGGTACTTCTTTTTTCAAATTCGTTCTCGCTCGTAACTTTTCAAATGGTTAATCGTAAAAATAACGAGCTCAATTCAGACGAAAAAGCTTTTCTTATATTTAATTCCTATTACACTATCCTATTTTAAATTTAATTTCTACTCCTATTTTCATCTAAATGTTCGATATAAAATAAAAAAAATCAAGATAGGAATAATTTAAATATAACAGCGTAGTTGTAGTTGTAGTTTACAATATCGTTGTAGTTGTTCAAATTTTCTGCAAAAAACTCAAGAATCTTCGTTATATAAATATCGATTTCCATCATTTACATTAGGTTTGTATAAAACGCTGATATTGTTCCCCCTCCCCCATCTTAGAATAATTAGCTTCCCCATTGTGCGCAAAGTTTCAATTGGTTATACTTTAACAAGAGTCTTTTTGCTTGCAGCAGAGTTTACGTTTTCGAACTTAACTGCTTTTTCTTCTCGGCTCTTTAATTCGCTCGGCATTCTCGCGATTGATTTTTTTTTAGTCTGCTCAGACGGAAGTTTCTCTATAAGTCTCCGGATGCTCCTCGTTTACAGTAAGATTCACTCAAACAGCGGTATAAGCGTAATCGCCGTGGAGAACGATACCGCCATTAGTTCGGCACGCTCGTAGCGGAAGCTATAACAAGTTTCTTGTAATCATCCCCGGCGTCCAATTGTCTTCAACTGCACGTTTGCTCTTAATTATATAGTCGCACGCGATGATTGAAGTATGAAAATCGCGCGGTGTACCTCTCAGTGTGCTATAAAGAGCATCGATAGAGTTACATTATAATTAGTGGCCTACAAAATGATCTCGATACTGTAAGTTCATCATTAAAGGTAAGTTCCTTTGTGAGATCGACAGGCAGCTTAAATACATTCTTGTAATAAAAGGGAGATATTAATATAATAGGTGCCCTCTATAAGATATAAGCGGCAGTTTATAAAGTTCC